GCGACACCCAGCCATATCACTCAGTATCTCTAACCATCGGTTACGATCATCCCAAGGTCCCCATCCAGGGAGCCTAACGGGACTTATGTGACCCAGATTCTTAGTTAGGGTTTTCATACCCTTATGTCAGGTCCTAGCTTGACCACCCTGGGCTTTATTCCACCCACTACCTGCCTCGGCAAACGTCGCTCGCTGTGGCAACTTATTTGGTGACATGCGTAACACATGCCCCAATTAGCGTAATCTATGGAGGTCGACTACTTGCTCCAGTGGGCGAACGCGGTTGCCTAAGACTTTGCGCCTGACCTCAGCATTGCTCATCCAGCTGCCCCACCAAACTCGTGCAATGCTGCGTAGGCAGCGATGTTCAAACACCGACAGTCTATCTTTGTCCTGTTTTCTTAACGGCCAATTTTCTGTTCCATTTAGCATAACTGGCCGAACAGCTGCAGCATACACTCGCCCCTTTAAAGACAACCGGATGTCGCGACGGCGCCACAGATGTCTCGAATTGGCAAATGCCAACCAAGCCTTTTGTATGCGAACTGACACTTCATCCGTGATGCGTCCACCAGGTGAGATAGATGCCCAGATAGTAAAACGTGTCCACCTGCTGTAATACTTCCCCAGTTTGGTGGGTCTTTGTGCTGGACCAAACCAATCTTGTAGTAGCATTCTACACTTTGAAGGTGCAAAACGCATGCCGAACATGGGTACACTAGCACTCAAACTTTCCAGAAAAGCTTACAACTTACCTGAATCTTCACTTAGTAGCACAATGTCCTCTGGATACTCCAGATCAAACTGTCTACCACCTGGGAGTAAATCGATGCCGCTATCCCTGGGGCTGTTTCAAGAATTAAATCATAACAAACTTAAATAGAAAAGGGGAGAGAGGGCAAAGCTTGCGAACACCACTTTCTGTGGTGAACTCGGTTGAAAACGTACCGGCTTCGACTGAGTATAAAGAGATCGCAGTACTGAAAGAAACTTCTCGGGCACATCTTTCAGAGAAAGTCAGCGCCAGAGTCTAAAGCGATCGACTGAGTTGTCAGCCGCTTTATTATACAGGAAGAATGTTCAAACGAACCACTGGGAACATCTCGTCCAGCTTCAGCTTTCCCGTATTACATGCGATACTCTTGTGAGTAAAATCTCAAATGCACCACACATGGTACATTGTTTTGCATTCGCAAGCCCTGAAAGAAATCAAAAGGCGATACCACAAAAAATAAATTCTTACTGTTCTGCATTTCTACTTGAAGTGAACAACGACAGTCTGTCTTTATCCTGTTTTTCTTAATGGCCAAGTTACTGCTGGACTGGCCGAACTGTCGCGGCATACACTCGACCCTTCACCAAATAAGTTGCCACGGCGAGCGATTTTCGCCTAAGCAGACACCGAGCGGAAAATGCCAAGAGTGGTCAAACTAAGAACTGGCATAAGGTTATGAAAATCCTATCCAGGAGACTGGATCACATAGGTCCTGTCAAGCTCCCTGGCTGGGGACTTCGGGATGATCGTAACCGATGGTTAGCGACACTGAGTAATATGGCTGGTTGTCGTAAACAGACCACTAAACTTCTCCATTTTCTGTTCGACTCCACTTTCAACTTTCCTTTTTTCTATTCTTCATCCAAATGAGGAGCCAAAAGACAGCAACCAAACCGGCGGACGAATACGCGTGGTTAAGCATTGTACAAACTGAACTGAACTACGTATTTATATGTGGATACATCAACAGACCGAGGATAATAAACATCGTTCACAAAAATTCTCCCCTCCCTATCATCAGTTTATTACCACTGCTTAAGTATTACGGGTTTTGTCTAATGCCTAATGGGAAAAGTTAAACTAAAAGGGTTGTCTTTTGTGCACGGTGTTTGTTGTCCTGTGTTTGCGTTGGTTTTTTTGCTGCCCATTTAGCGTAAGGCGTTTTTTTGGAGGACTGGGATGTTCAGAATGCTGGAAGCAGCATCAAGGTGACGATGGAGAACTCATGTAGATTAAGGTTTCATTCGGTAGTTACAGGTGTTGACCAAACTCGTGTAACATCATCCTCATTTTGAAAACCCATTTCAGCTTGCAATACCATAGTTGTATATAGATGGCTACAAGTAAAGTTTATTTATTCCTGACTTTATCTCCAAGATCTATATTCTTGGTTCAATTCTGTCACCATTTAAATGTGCACGACCCTGAGTGTCGCTATAAAATTCGCAGTAGTCCGAAAGTTACAGCTCTGATTTAGAAAATATTTTGGCTAAAGCAGCATAGAAACACTCTTTTAATAGATGATTCCTGTCCCATGAGGGCTTCTATTAGGGTGAGCACATGTATTCTAAATGTCTATTCCCTTTTCACCCAGTGCACAGTAAATAAGCATATTATTGAAAACATTCTAACTTAAATAAATTGATAAATTATTTGGCTATAAACTACTCACGCATTTTATCCAATACTGAGAGAACTGAGAACATAGCCCAAGAAACACACAAGTTGATCTTCGAAAGTTGACCTTGAGTTGTGCGGCTCGTTGGATTAGCGTCCTATAGTGTCACCATGCCCAAACCGGATAAAACGTTCAAAACGTCTTGGCATATAATTAAAGCCGACAGGCGCATAAATCTGTTGGCTCAGTTGATTTCACTGGAAGCGCTTCGATGTGAACATAAGTCCAATTTGTTGCATATTCATCGAAATTTCTTCATCAAGACAAACTGAGAGGGAGAAAACCGGTCATAGCAAAGTAAGATCATGGTCGTCCTTAATCGCAGCAGAGAAGAGTTGCACAGAACCAATCTGGAGGATAGTCCAGGNTCCAGGCTGATTAGCCATTTTTCCCCACGCCTTCGTTTGGAAAATGATGGCTCAATTTGAAATGTAGCTGAGGCCACGTGATATAAATCTGTTATCGAACGCCCAACAAAGCATAGCATGTATAGATTTGACCAATAAATTCAAATCGCGTCGCCCGCCCATCTGGCAAGGGGTTTATCTCACTGATGGCCAAAGAGTAATTCAGCATATGGTTAAAGCTGATCTACTGAGCCAGTTTTCTAAAGAATTTCTTTTTACCTGTCAAAAGATGTAAATATCTACACCGCCTAACGAGTTGGAAGGGATATGATTATTGAGCGCATTGTTGTTGGTCTCCTGCATACGTCAATATGGACATAGCAAAATTTCCTGCACTGATCAGGGAGGTTTTTGATAACTGTCACTCCAAAAATGCATTTGCGGAAGTCATATTTTTCACATATGAAGG